GCTCCAGACTTGGACAACCACTCCACTAAGACAGTTAACATTTTTATTGGGTCACAAACAACTCTGGTGTTAACCCACACCCTCCAGTACAATATAAGAGCATCCACAGTTTCCTCAAACCAACAAACATTAGTTTGGATAATAATAAATTGCCCAAAAGGAAAAAAAAAGTGCATACAATGCAGGCTGCACATATGAATCAAACCTAGAAGCAAAAGGAGATAAAGAAGACTCCTGAATGATTTCATACTTACTGTCCCCAAGAGCAAAGCTTTGATTAGAATCCAGGGGTACTGTGTAATATAGCAGACCCTTGCCATTCGTGGGTTTGCGATTTGTGATTTTGACGAATTGAGGGAGGCAGATGGTGGCTAGCTTGCGAGCCTTTTTCCCGCAGCAGCGCAACAAGTCACCCCACGCACCCACAGCGTCTCTTCTCCCCATGTTCGTGCTCAACCATTGCTTGTGACGCAGCATCTCATGTTGTACTTTCAAAACTTTAGTGTTTCTGTGTGAAATGGCCCCTAAAAGAATGCCTAATGTCAGTGCTAGTGAGGGGATAAGTGCTGCCGTGGCTGGTCAGTTGCTTGGTATGGGTATACAGTAGTGCACTAAGGTAGTATAAATTGTTATTCGCAGTTTTATCCTATTTGCGCCATTTCTTGGAACCTTTCCTCCGTGAATAACAAGGGTTTACTGTACTTCTCAGTTAACATACGGTTACACTCTACAGTAAGTACTGCACAGGCATCCCCCATTTTGTGAAGTGGTTCCATTTTTTTAAAACTTTTCATAAATCAGATCATATTATCCCAGACTCCCATTATAAGAGCCGAGATAAGTTCCTACGAAAAAAAATACCCATAACGTCTTAAATTTCCACCAAAACATGTCTTACTGTTTTTTTTTGTGTACACAATAATTATAAGCCAAAAATAAACACAAAAAGTAATATACATGCACTACAGTACAAATTTATTTTTTTTCCTGTACAGGTTGTACCTCTCTAGTCCGGCAACCTCGGGACCTGACCGGTGCCGGACCATGGAAATTCACCCTTTTTCTGGACAGATAGTAACTTGCGCTTACGTTAGCACCACTTTTACTGCTTCGTGGTCTCTTTGAAGACAAATTGAAGGGTTAAATGTCATACAGTAGCTTCTCAAATTTCGCGAATTTTTAATTCAACGTTTTTTTATTTGGACACAAAAAAAAACACTACATAATTTAAAATTTTGACGGCAGAAACTCGAATTTTGACGGGTTTGAGCGGTCCACCAACGTTTAGGCGTGCACAATCGTGTAAACAGCGTCATTTCTCTTATGCACAAAATATTCATTATTGTTTATTACTGAATGTCTTTTTTATTGAATTAATGTTTATGTGTGCAAAATGAGCAATACAATTCATTAATAATACGTAGAATATTAAAACACACGAGGAAAGGAGACAGCATTGTTTTCGTTGATTACAAAACCAGTGACTGCTGTACAAATTAAAACGCTCATTAAGTAACATTAATTAGTTTTTCAAAATAAAATATTGTGCTTCCCATAGCATAACAAAAACATATTATACACTTAACCCTTAAGCCCCGGGTTAGGATGCCACTGGCAGTAACCTCCCCCCCCCACACGGGGGAAATTGAGAAAAATCAAAACTTAACCAAAAATAATTTTTAACCTTTTTAAATGTAAAATAATAAAAAATAAGTAATAAATACTATATATTGACCCTCCAGAAACTTCCCTGGCAGTGCTGAGGAAGGGAGGGGAGAGGGAGATAAGGGGACAGTGTTGTTTTGACAGCTGAGCTCGTGGTCACCTGCGCACTTACCAGCCATTTTTAGCTTGCCTTTGTGTCCGAGGTGGCCAATAATGCATGTGTTTACCGATCATAATACTTATTTGCTATAAATAATTCATTTAGAATATTTTATTTGCACTATTTTTCATAAAATGTGCTCGGCAACATACACACGCAGTCGGTCGCAAGGCTGTCTGGATGACCTTGTGTTTGGTAAAGCAAGTAATGAATAAAATGATAATAATGCCACAAATAAATACATTTCTAACAAAATCATAGCATTATTTTCCAGTAATATTACACTACAATACAACGACTGTACACTAATTTTAGCAATATTACTTTGATAAAACATGATAAAATGAACAAACAATGGAAATGAAACAAACAAAAGTAGGTTACATTTAGGAAGCTTCCCTGTGGCCGAGCGTGTGGCGTGACAGGCAAATAGTTACACTGGAACCTGATAACCAGCACTGGGCATTTAAATACTGGTGGGAAATGGTGCATGTCTTAGTACATCACCTGGGGCATAAGGGTTAAAATACAGTACTGTACTATTTGAAGAGACAGAAGATAAAAGTTTATCTAAAATATCTAAAATATTTCTATATAAAACTTAATATCATATTTAACATGAAATAAATAAATAAATAATATTTTATGAGGGAAATGTGGCATCTTTTAAAGCACTTTATAGATACTGTATACCTTTAAAAAAAAATTATGATTAAAGCAAGAAAACTTATTATGAAAGCTCATTACCATATAAGAAAAGTATCTATATTAAGTATCTTCAGTCAGTATGATACATCTAAAACCTCCTTCAAATACATGGTCACTGCATATACCTTCACAATGCATATTCCACAAACCAGTACAGTATTCTCTCATATACTACTTAAATCTGCATATTCACTCTCTTTATCTGCATTATAATATCATGCACACTTTTTCTCTGCATAGTAATATTCTCTCACATATTCGCTTTCTGCCCTTCTCTCTTATAACCAAGAATTCACAATCGGTTAATTTCAAAACTAGTCAATCCCTCAATATAAGTACATGAAGCACTCAACCAATAACTAAGAACTTTGTGTTAATTATCTTATTATCCTTCCTGCTATTTCCTGTCTATATCTAATACTAAGTACAAATTATTCTCTCTGGGCATTCATCTCACCTTCTGAAAGAATGATGTATACAGTATTAGGTTGAATATCAAACAATATGATTGTTATGTAGAAAATTAAGTTATCTAAAATTGTACATTATGTTGGGGAAAATATTTTTTGGCTGTATAGAAAATAAATTATGTTTGGTACTTACTGGGAAATCTGTGCAGTCCTCAAACTGTAGGGAATTTCTACATGTGGAAAATCCTAAGACATGAACTTAGAATAGTTTATACACTTCTTTCACTTTCAGGACATAATACAGTAAAAACCCCATAATTCGAATTACAGTATTACCCCGCCTAACGCGGTTTCAAATAACACGTTTTTTCATATACGCGGTGCCTCGCCAGAGCTGAACTTTCACTTAACACGGATTTTTTCCACATATACGCAGTGAGTGCCCGGCTCGAGACACTATTTTTAGATTTGCCCCACCCGCCACCCTGCCTGACTGCCTGTTTTAGCTCATAAAATTCATACAAATTACCCGGCCAGAATATAATTTACATTGCTGGAATTCTTATAATTTGGTGATCATTTTGAATATAAACATTATATATTTTGCATTAGACATACAAATTTTAAATAAAATGTTTTCTCTGAGTAGATATGTTCTCTTTTGTGCAAAATATATGACATTTATATTCAAAATATTCCTGGTCTTACAAGGAATGTCAATTATATTATCCTAACTTTAATCTGAGGTATTATTTAATACAAAATGTTAAAATTTATTTTTTTCACCCAACATCTCTTGAAGGGAGGATTGGTGGGGGGTGGGGGGGACCGCGCGGTTGGAAGAGGGGGGGAGGCAAGGTGGGGTACTTTGATTGACAGATAGTGTCGTGAAGAATATTTTTTTTTATTAACTGAAGATATTCAATTATACAATGTCAATTGTATTATCCTAACTTTAGTTTGAGGTATTATTTATTAAAATTTAGTGGTTTTCCCCCAAAAATTTCTCAGAGAGGGAAGAGCCAGCAGTGTAGTGTGAGAAGAGGGGGAGGGAGTTGAGTCCATTATTTGAATGGACATTAACTTGGCGACTGTATTTCTCTATTTCTCTTAAGTATTAATTGTGTGCATGTACCATCATAAAATTAAGATGTTATTTTTACTACAACATAGTTATGCGTCTTCAAAAAGTGGAGTTTGGGGGTCGGGCCGGTTTCTATTGGAATTAATCCCATATGTTCTGTTGTTCACTTAACGCGGATTTCACTTAACGCGGGACCCTCTGGGTTCTATTGACCGCGTTAAGTGGGGTACAACTGTACAGTAATATGTGCTCTACCCATTACATATTATGAGATTTAAAAAAATTTGAGGGACACCTCCTGGGAATAAAAAAAAAAAAAGTATTTTTCCCATTATGTGCCCCAATCAAAATTTAAACATTTATAAGTACAGTACCTTTGTACCAGATTTCGTTGCTTGATCCCTGGTTATCAGATATAATGGCTCAACACTCGGCAATAATGGAATAACAAGTAGAAAAATGCTTGCATAGTAGACCGTAGATTTACACTCCATGACTCACCAATGTGAACTGACCGTTACCAACACGCATGGCACATATAGTACTTGTTTACACTGAAGCGGACGGTTGCTTCCCATGACGACTTGTGCGTTATAGTATATATTCATTAGTCTCTCATAATCTGCAATTTTACCAAATACATACTGTATTACCAAATTTTTAATACTGTATACAACATACAGTACTGTATATTGTAATATTTCAAAATGTTACCAAATATTATGAAATTTGTAATATATATTTTGTAACAGCAAAAATTTACAGATTATGAATGATTTCCAATTACTGTAGAGGGGTACGAATTATGGAGTTTTTACTCTATACAGTATACAATATATAATCAGAGTTCCCGGAGCCAAAAGGAAGCTAAAACAACCAATAAACTCTTACCTGATAAGTGATGAATTAAAGGTTGCCACAACATATGTACAGTATATGTTCTCTATGGCTGCTCTATTAATGGTCTTTTGGCTATAGATATCAAGTTTATTTCCTGCTATGCCCAAGGCACAGCCAATAAAAACACATTACCAGTAGGAGAGAATCATCTAAAATATATGTTGGGAAAAATTATCATTTTCATAATATCACCCAAACTATAGGTAACACACTACAGTACAGGTAAATTCTCTACCTGTTTAGATGCATGATAGTTTCTTGCCCAAAATATTCAAAAATTTTCATCTCATAAAATTTGTGCAATTATGATGATTTCCTGAGTAAACTATCACCCTACAGCTACTAAAAGAGCAATATGCTTCACCAAATTATTTTACAGTTCAGTAACCAAAAGGAATATGGGAACCCATTGTGGGAGCATAGTATATCTTAAATCTAGTGTTAAAAACCTAACAATAACTCATCCTAAATTTTGGGGATGGTTGTGTTAAGAAAGGAGTGTGTTTAGAAAGAGGAATTAATTGTACTAGTGATTAATTCTGATGCAGTTAAGATGAAAATATGAAATATTTAAAAATAATACCCAATCTATAAAATTATTAATAAATCATGGTTAACACTACTGTACTTCCTGTTATGTATCTACTCAGAGCACTTCCTTAACTAGGGCATGTGGACAGTTTCTGCAGTGACTACTCAATATTGATTTATTCTCACTTCATAACAGTACCACTGCCATATACAGCATGTAATTTTTCCTTGAATACTATTTCAACTCACTTTTTCTAATTGGAGGGAAAACTTCCAATAAATTAAAATCAGAATATCTTACAATAAGCATCATATTAATCAAGTTTGTACAATGATTTCAGACATGGTTGGTAAGGATGTTACTTATGGGGGCTGGGGTGGCAGTATCATTACCGACTATGGAAGAATTACTACTGATGACTGTGGCACTACTGTTGATGGTGAAGGAGTTGTTAATGAGTGTGGTGTCTAGTTCTTCTTCTTCTTCTTCATCCTCAGCTTCGTCATTGTCAGCACTATTAACAATCAAACTCTCTCTTTCCACTCCCTCTGTGTCAACCAAACTGCAAAAACAAAACTTATATTAGCAACCAGTTCAAGTAGGATTAGAATATACCTTATTTGCACAGTCAGAAGCTGCACCTTTTATTGCACAATAAAATAGAAGTAATTGGGGTGCAAATTAAAAAAAAATTACTATCCTGGGTTGGATGGTATTGAAGTTCAGGAGCCCAATGAAGCATCCATACCCACAGTGTCTGTAACCCGTAATGGTGTAATAAAACACTGAATCATTTATTGGTATTGTACTCACTTCACCATAATTATTCTTTATCTTCAAGATACAGTATTGGTACAGCATTTATATTCATATGGTAGATTTAAGAGGTTACCTTAACCCTTAAAGGGTGGGTATATTTATATGTGCTGCAAATCGTGTAAGATAATGTTGTTCAAATACATGTAGAACGTACCCTAACTGAGATATTAAAATATTTTGCACCATTAGAAAGCTGAATCTTTTGCTAACAAATTCATATTAAGTCCACAAATACATGAAATAATAATTTCTTGGAGAAATCAAGAATTGAACTGGGAGTATAATGAACCCTCAAAGATTTGGACCCAGAAAATCTGGATTTCGGAAGATTCGGACAAAATTTGGTGGTCCCGGGAGCTAATAAGCCTCCCTAAGAAGCATTCCACAAAAACAGAGCAAAGATCATCTTAGGCCCATGTAACTAAGATGTCAGTGCATGGGACACAGGTACCCGAGGCGGGAAACATAAACAGAGTTGTCAATTGTTGTTTGTGGGAATATTATTTCATTCACTATTAATGATACAATGTTTCTTATTATGTTATTGTAGGTATATAAATAGTTTATATAATTTGTTTTCAAATTAGACTACAAGATATGTATTTCTCCCATACGTACTGTATTTCAATCATACCTCTAACGGGAACGAGTGAGTGACCACAAGTTAGTGTGTCATCTGCTCTTGTAACTCTCCTCCCTCCCTGCCATATTTCACTGGATTTACTGTTATTATTAGTGTTTATTGATATAATAATGCTTTATAGTGATTAATCGTGGTTAGATTCGTCTCTGTAACCACCAGGCTACTGGGCCAAGCTATGAGGGGCTATGGTTGTTTTTCAACTCGCATTTTCGGTTAGATATTCGTAACTTTCTTCATTTATTTTTACTCAGTTACATGCACACACCTTCCTACATACATTTTGTGAAAAAAAAAGTAAAAGAAATAAAAGAAATAATTGTCCTAAGGGTAAACAAGTAATGGGAGGAGAGTGCAAAGTGTAGGGGAATGGGGAGCGTTGCTAGGGAATCGGCATCCCAGTTGGTCTTCGTTACTATGATGAAGCAGGGAGTGTATGCAAATGGCGACTGTGTTAGTTTTTCAATTGGCTTTTATTTACTGATTTGGCAGAACAGCATGCCCTTACAATTCACGGATTTTTAATTCACAACCTTCGATTATTCGCGGATGACACCCTGTATGTACTCAAGAATGTCTACGGGTAGTTTTAAAGTTGGCGGCTGGGCCATGTGCACTGACTCCGCCTCAGTCCATGTTAAACATATGTCCGTTTCATGCTTGTGCTACTCTGCTCTCCTTACAACTGTGCTCCTTGTGCTTGTGATGGCTCCCAAAGCCCTCAAGCATCTTCATCCAGCCGCAGGAAGGTGCCCAAACAAGTGAAGAGAGAAAAGAAGGTCTTGCATTTCTCCCATACAGATGCCTGGCTACTCCTGGCATTGTATGCCTGACAATGGGAGCGGGTAAGGGGAGTGAGTGACTGCTAGTTAGCACATCATCTGCAGTTGTAACTCTCCTCCCTCCCTGCCATATTTCACTGGATTTACTGTTATTATTAGTGTTTACTGATATAATAGTGTTTAATAATGATTAATCATGGCATTGTAGCCAGCTTTAACTCGCAACTGTTACCACCAGGCTACTGGGCCAAGCTGTGAGGTGTTATGGGTTTTCAACTTGTATTTCTTAATTTTTTACTCATTTACATGCACACACCAACCAAAATTCATACATATTGTGAAGAAAAAAAAGTAAAAGAAATAATCGTCCTGAGGGCAAACACATAACAGGAGGAGAGTGCAGAGTGTAACTGGTTGGGTGCGTTGCTAGGGAATCGACGTCCCAGCTGATCTTCGTTACTTTGGTGGAGCAGGGAGTGTATGCAAATGGCGACTGTGCTAAACTTTCATTTAGCTTTTATGTACTGGTTTGGCAATAGTATTCTTTGTTGTAACTTATTTATTGGTAGTATTATTATTTATTCCTCACATTTCCTGGTATTATATACAGTATATTATTTTAAGAAAACTAAGGCTGTGAGGTGTTATGGTTGTTTTTCAGCTCGTATTTTTGGATAGATATACGTAACTTTCTTCATTTATCTTTACTCAGTTACATGCACAAACCAGCCTACATACATATTGTGAAAAAAGTACAATATTACACAGCAATTACCGACATCCTTCATGTTGGGTTGGCTAAATGGCTACAAAAGAAATTCTGTAAATTTGATCTACTTATCAACCCAGCTGCTGCTCAGAAGCCATTCATTCTAGAGACAGTAATTGCTGTATGGCAACCCAACTTTAATAACAAAGCATGTCTTGAGGGGATTTTTTGTGCGTGTGTGTGTGAACTTGGCAGGTCGCCAAGTTAGATGTCATCATAGCCACATCGCCTTACTTCTCCTGTGATATTGTTATTTTTCGACTCATAATTATGAGTAGATACTGTGCAAGTATTTTTATTTGTTTTCTTTTACTGTACTCTGTTACATGCGCACACACTTGTCATACAGAATGCCCCCCCACCCATCAAAAAAAAAAAATAAGTGATTATCTTAAGTTCAAAAACAAAGATATTAAACATTTCTTATGTCCATGGTAGTTAGTGTGCAGCTTCAGTGTTGTGTGCACTTATTATCATGTTACAATTAAATAATGGGACTCAATGGGAAAATTGGTCCCGCGTAACGGAGATCTACATCACAAAAACATTTTCAAGGATAGATCCCTTCCGTAACCCAGAGGAAGCCAGTATTTATTACAGTAGTATAATTTTTATTTATTCCTAACATTTACTGGTCCTACATTATATGCACAAGTGATGCAACCCTGGTGCCTAAGGTCCGTAATTGCCTTGGATAATGAGGAGTATCTATTGAAATATATGTGGTGAAAGTTGCTGGCTGAGAAAGCATCTCCCCTTATTCAAATTAATTCTTATGGGGGAAAATTGCCCCAATATTCACAATTTCGTTATTTTCAATGACTTTTAGGAATGCCTCCCTTGCGATAACTGGGGTATTCCTGGTACAGTATGCACGTGACACAGTACAGCCGGGCAGTCACCCAGCTGACCCAATGCCTTAATACATATGTTCACTTCCCACACATACACACACATGCTCTTAATTTTTTTTTTTTTAGTTTTATAATTTCTTTATTTCTAAGCCACATTAGAGTATTGTAATGATTTCTTTTCTTCTCAAACAAGCACAGAGACACGATAAACATACTGAGATAAGGGAGAAGGATGGTTTGTTGATCCTTTATATAATGTACTTTAAACCTTTGTTATCAAACCACTATAAAACTATTTAAAATTCAGATACTGTACCATGTGGCAACAATGGTACATATTCTGTTACGAGTAATACTATTAGAAATGTCGTTTGACAATAAATTGACGATACGTATTTAGATAGCCAAGCAACTTATGAATTACACTGGTGTCAATATACATTACTGGACCCTCGATAAAGAATGATATTAGGTTCCTGAAACCTCAATTAGTTGTGAATCATTCTTTACTGAACTTCTTATGGGAAAGAGGGCTAGGGTCTGAACATCGCAAAGATTGACTTTTTTAACTATAGTACGTATGCCTATTTTCATCCACGATGGCGTCACAGCAGTAGAGTACTGCATTCACAAGAGTACTGTACTGTACATAACATAAAATATGGTAAGAAATGATTTATTGAGAATCGTGCATGTCGTATTCTCTTTACCACCGATCAACAACTAACCATCACCACCCTGCACCATCTCCCTACTGTACACCCATTTTTATCAATCTTATGATGTCAAACAACAAGCATGGAATTATTGTGATCCTAATACTACTCATAATAAAATCACTGGTACTGTACTTCCCAAGGTAAAACTACTTTGTTCAGCAGCACACCTCCATACATTATTTGTTACTTATGGCATTATAAATTTTATGATTTGACAGATAAGGATGGGTGTTTTATTCATATTTTATTTTGCGTTATTAACGAGGTTCTGAGTTATGAATAAATCAACTTATGAACGGGTCCTGAAATGTAACCCGTTCATTATTCAGGGGCCCCTGTACAGTATACAGATTCATCCAAGGCAAACACTTGGATGGATGCCAATATGCAGAAATTAAAAGCAATATAACATTTACGAGACAAAAACTTATCATATTTTCTACAAGATCTGGAGAAAAAATATAACTTAAGTGTACATCTATTATCTATACTGTAATTCAAAATTTATATTTCTTTAATATTGTATACCATCAGCTTCAACTACAAAGAAAATTATATAAAGTTAAATTTACCTGTACATGTGGTTTCTTCTCCAACACTTTCTATGAAGATATTTCATTCCATCCATCAATGGGTCCCAGCTTTCATAATGTGTGAGAAGTGAGACAGCAATAAAAGATGTCATCATGGGAATTGCACCAATATAAATTAGCAGTGAATACTTGATGCCCTTGAGCCAGATGTCCACAAACATTGTCAAGGGAATAGTTAAGCTCAAAGATAAAGTAGCCATCAATGATGAAGTAAGGAAGCATCCCCTGCAAAATAAAACACCTTCAATTACCAAGTAATTCCAATGTAGGTCAAACAATTATAGAAGGTGTTAACTAAGAAGACAATTAAAAAAAAAAAGAATCTTTACTGCAAAAATTTTTTCTTGCATTATCAGCTAAGAGAGGAATGTATGATATTCTCTGAAACACTTCAATTCAGAAACAAATTCAGACTTTATTTCAAGAAATAAAGTATAAAGGTAAGCACCTATTTGGTACATCCTTTTTCTCTTTTATGATACAGTGGCTACAATCAAGAACATATACACACACACACTGTTCGTTTTTGTCACTCATCCTCTAAACCGCTAAGACACATGCATTGTGCGATATTGTTCCCTTCCACAACAATGCTCAAAGACATCCTTCTACATTTTCCCTGTCACTTTACACAATCTAGCATCCTCAAACCACAGAGTCCATTCTCAAAAAGTACTTGATGCCATACTGTCTAGTCAGGCTCAAGATGATTATAAACTAACCTAAGGTATCATATTGTTTCACACAGAGTAAGCACAGATACTTCTTTTAGCTACTGTACCTATAGTTTTTTATTTTCCTTTTTTATGATGGTTTTTCAATAATCATAATCTATGGTTTAAACATATGGGAGATAATGGCCGGAATCAACATTTCAAAGAGGTCATGGTCATCAGTGCCCAACCATAAAAATTCTGGACATATTAATCAAATATCATAAATGAGATTGACTATATCAATACTTTGTTATAAATGGTTTAATTGATAAAGCATTACTAACCAAAGCCAAAGAAGTTCAGACAGGACAGTTCCTACTAAGCCATTGACAGACATGTAGAACAGCTGTTGCAGATTTGGCAACTGAAATGTCTCCCATCCAAAAACATCCAACAGGGGGAACCCGGGCCACAGAATGATGGTATTGAAAAAGCCCACAAATCCTGGAGAAAAAAAAATATTAATAAGAAAACAAATTAAGTTAATTCAATACATTC